ATACGTCCTTCCAGTGAGAAAGGCTTTTATCCATTCATAAACATTCTCATGGAAACCTAGCTTACTAATTTTAAATAACAATTTTGAGTGGCTGACCTTGTCAAAGGCTTTAGTGAAATCAAAAAATATAACATCTATACTTTGTTTGTTGTCCAAGGCTACAGTCCAGTCATTGAGCGTTTCCAAAAGATTTGTACTAGTAGACCTCCCAGAAACAAAGCCATGCTGAGAAGCAGGAATTAACTCGTTATCTGCAAGATGATGAAGGATGTGAGTTTTTAACAACTTTTCAAAGAGCCTACAGAAAAACGAAGTGATACTTATTGGCCTATAGTTGGAAATATCCGATGATGGCGCCTTCTTCAGGACTGGGGTGATATAGGAATGTTTCCATAATCGAGCACTTTGCCGGCAGTACATTATGGATTGATTATATAAATATGAAAGTGGAAACGCAATGGCCTGAGCAACGTTTCTAATGAATGGGAAAGGAATTCTGTCAGGAGTTGTAGAGTACGGGGGGGGGGGAGCATGGCCATTTCATGAGAAGACTGTACACATCCCTTGGATCAAAGTATGGAAAGGACTGCATTTTATAAGAGACAGTGGGCGAAAATGAGGGTAAATCGTTGTTGTCTTGTTGAAATGCTTTACTGAACTCAACTGCAAACGCATTGGCCTTATCGAAGTCGTTTAGAAGCAATCTGTCTTCATACCTCAAATCCGTAAACTGAGATTTCTCGCGCAGCCTAGATCTCTCATAAATTTGAAGAAACGCTGCTTGTCCTTAGCTTCAACGATTTTCTTTTCTACATTTTTGTTGAATTTCATAAGCCTTTTGGTGAAAACTAAGGAGAATCTGTTAGTGTACTCAACCCAGTCACCGGTCAGTTTGGCATATTGGAACAGGCATTCTTTATGTTCAGACATGTTGCGCAAATATTCCGGTAGGTTGCGCTTATTCGGATAGACGAGAGAGCCCAGGGGACGTATTGATCAATAGTGTGATTGAGTATAGAGAGGAACATTGAATACTTATCATCAACTGTAGATAGTGTTTCAAAGGATTCAACCCATAGGATACTAGAAAGATAACTGAGGACACGGGAGTAGTCGCACTTATGAAACAGTCTTTTGAAAACTGGCACGCAAGGAGGAAGACTGGCAGTAATCTCAAAAGAAATGCTCGAATGATCACTATGCCCAAGAGCGCTGGAATGTCAGTTGAGCATTTTTACCTTTCCGTTTATCCAATTTATCTGAAAAGTTGAAGCGGCAGATAGCCTCATTGTTATAAGTAAGATGACTACAAAGGAACGCCGAGTACGGTTGATTTTTTTTTCCCCGGCCGTTTGCAATAAGGTGTGCACCGTGGCTCACATCGTGAGACGCTCTACTCAAACCTTTTTCCAACTTTGCGGAAGCTGCCTCTGAATCAAATTATGAAATTTGTTTAGCACTCTTCTCTTGCAGCTGTACTTTCGTAGCTGTTCGCAGGGACCGGAAGACTGCCAAAGCGGCTGAGAGCTCATAACCAGGGATAGTCTGGATCGTTGAAAACCTGCTACATACATTGTGCGTGAAAATGTCTCTGTAATGGTACTACTCGAGGTTAGGGTGTCCGGAAAGTTTTGAGAAAATTTCGCTGCCTCACTTTGAAAAAGCGTAGCGCGCGAAGGCCATGAGCAAATCTGTAGATCAAAACATGGGAAGATAGAGGATTGTCTGTAGATCAAATCAGCAGCTGATCAATATTTCATTTCGTCATTAGCCTTTGTTGTAACCAATCGAATAATGTGCGACAGACACTACAGTCGACGCATCCTACTTCATCTTTACCGTTCCGGCCGCTCCGCCACTCAAGCGAGGAATGAGTCGCTGTCGTCGATGGGTGGCAATGCACCCTCTCTTGCAACCTGCTACAGGTGGTACGATCGCTTCGCAGTGGGAGAGTTTAGCCTCGATGAAGCACCTCGATGCGGACGCCCTCCCTCTTCCAACACTGGCATCGTTCTGGCTTCTGTGAGGACCAATCCTGCCCAAAGTTTGAGGGAGTTGGAGAGGACGACTTCTACTTCTCGATCCACTATTCACGGCATTTTGAAAAGGAACGGCTTTCCGCGCGGCTCTGCCCGGAACTATTCCGCGGTCTCTTACCGCAAGGGAACGTGCGGTGAGGGTCGATCTATGCCAGAAGCTCTTCGATCGAGAACGAACGACGACTTGAGCGAGTTTCATAACTGCTCAGAATGAAAAGTGGATCTCGTACGAAAACCCGGATAGGAAACTGGAGTGGTTGCCGTTGGACCAAAAGCCAGAGCCCGTTCCAAAGCGAGGATGCCACGAAGGACTTGCTCTCGTTTTTCTTCTGCTCCACCGGCTGCATTTATTATCTTTTTTTTTTCTTTTTTTTTTTTTTTCCAATTATTATAAGCATTCGTCATTGAGGGCCACTTACTAAAAACATCATCGATTATTCCTCTGAAGCAGGAAATTCGAATGCTGCCCCATGATTTCGTATTCACCCCATGACTCAGCCCTTGTAATTACCATGTTTCAGGAGTCTCCAGGCGAGACGTCGTGGCTAAAGAAAAGCCACTATCTTGATTACTGATTTTTCGCTTTTCTTCTTGTTAATATGCGTTGAATAAAATGAGCGGATTTTCTCAAAACTTTCCGGACACCCTAATACAAGTGATTGTAACATGGAGGAAGCTCTTTCCGTGCCATGTCCCATAGCTCGCTCCACATGCATCGAATGAATATGACAATTGTCCTTTCTTTTTCTGTCAGGGAGTCGGATAAGCTCTGGGTGTGAACTCCCATCTAAAGTGAAATTTTTATGTAACAAAAAAAAGTGGCCGAAAGTTAGTCGCATAGGAGCAGCGGCAGCGGCAGATATCAGCTGTCTTGACCGATTTGTCACATTGATTATTGACCTCGGGATAGAATCATTAGGTTGTCCGGAAAGTTCTCAGCGTTTTGTGTTACTATATTTTGTACATTCATTGCTGAATCAAAAAACTCAAGGTCTTCTCTTTGCCATCTCAGTGTACATCCTGAGAGAATTGTTGTTGCTGCTAGTCTGATGGTACAGTCTGGTCGCCCGCCTTCGGTGGTTGATCCTTATGCGTGTGAAATGGGTCCCCGGCCTTCCAACCTTAGGGCCATTCGGGTTGCCCCCCTTCGCCACAGAATAATTTTCTGCAATTCCAGAAATTTTCGTTTTCACATTTGGTATATACCCCCCTCCCTCCTCCTAGTGGACGGTGGTAAAATTTTAGTAAACGCAAGGATTGGGAAGTGGGTACTGGATGCTTAGTGGATGAAACAGCAAGTAGGAGTTATGTGTTGTTTGGGCCTGTAGAACAAATAACAGCGTAAATAAGCTAAATAAACAAAATAATATAAATACAAATAAGCTTTATAAATTTTCAGATTTCGAACCTCCATGTGTTCACTACTATTCTCAGTTGTCTTGAGAAGAAATTATGAACTTTGCCCTTTACTTTTTGCTGAGGTGTCTCTCCCTTAGTTCATCTGGCTTCCCCGCTGTCCCCTTCAAGCGTATTATCCATCCTTCGGGTTGCTCAGGATGCGTTTTGGGAATTTTTTACCCTTGGCACCGTTCACTTCTGCCACGCCCCAGTGTGTGTTGAGGAGTCGAGCAGGTTACCTTGTAGGTGTTCTGTAAATGTTGACCATGCCACAACCATCCCAAGCTTGATCCGTTCCCCAAAAGTGATTTTCCACATAGTCCCCAATTTTCGGGTGGTCAACGGAAACATACAGGACATACACACGCACACACAGACTATCTGGACACGTGACTTACGTCGCTGAATCGATTTGCTTCCCAGTATATAATTACGTTTACTTCATTTTCATCCACGTGCCACCTAAATGACAATATCATGTTGAGATGGTTGAAGGGAATAGGAAAATTGTTTGGAACAGAAAAAGAGACAAGTAAGCATAGAAACGAACTGTGGGAAAGAAGCGTTCACGAAATATGAATGACTGGCCCAGTCGATGAAATCGTCGGTTCCGTCGGATCGATACCTATCTAGTCCTCACGAAGTGCGGTTTCGTCGTTTCGTGTCGGTTGCCCGTCATATTTACTGTCGGTTTCGTCGGGACGTGCATGTTATTTTCGTCTTCATGAAGTAGTCGCCAGAAACGTCGGCTTCGTCGGTTACTTCAGTTACGTCGGTTACGTCGACGCAGTCGCACGGCATGAACGCAGCCTTCCTGGTGGTGGAAGAGCTGTTCGCAGTTGATAAGATTTGATAAACAGCATTGCAGAGAAAATTTCCGTGTCCACATAGAATCGCACAAGGCTTGTTTTTCAGGAAAAACAAGATATAAAGGGAGGGACGGTCACCTGGGTGGTGACAGCAGTCGATAAGCAATTCAATAGAGCTGATATGCGACGTTGCCGTGCCGTCGTGTCTTTGTAGAAGGAGGTTGGCTAGACCACCACCGAATCAGTAACCTATGATTCGTTAGTGGCTAGGAAACATAAGCTCAGATAAGCTGCCACAAAAAGTTGGTGTTGAAACCGCCTCTTTTGAGAAGCGGCCAGCTTATTTCGCTTAGGTGCCTACTGTCCAAAAACACCAAGGAAACAATAGACTTGGGGTGAGCTTACTCTTTTTCGAAAGCTGAAATCCATCCACACCCAACAGCAGCGACGAACTCTTTTGCTTTTCTTTGGCTGCCACTTTCCTTTTTGCCAACATCGGACCTAGTGATCTTGTCCTCAGCGCGTCGGAAGGGCGCTTGCGGGCGCCTGTCTTTGAGGACAGAATTTATTTTGCAACAAATAAGCAACTCTATTCTTGCTGTGTATGTATTGATGATGCATTGCAGTCTGAAGATCACATGGTAGCGTTAGCGCCGAACACTCATCGATACATGAGCAAAAATGCACACAGATATCAAGATCCCAACTGAAATTTTCTGAAACTTTTCAGATGGACAACTAAAACCGCAACTGAATGTTGACGGCCATCGAAGAGAGACCTCGTCATGTCATTATAGCATGGAACATTGACAAGCGAACAGAAAATGCTTCTGGAAGGAGGTGTGCATATTTTTGTAGAGGCGCTGGTGATGTGATTTCATCTGAATGAATGACAATCATGAGGCGCTAGGTTTTGTGAGTATGGGTACATCCCATACTGAAGCTGGATGAGGTCATACATCTTATCGCTTTTGGTGCATTATCTTCTTGCCAAGCGCAGTGCACGTTCGTCGTGGTATGGAAAGGAAACGTGAACAAGATTAGCACAATTGTCATGAGCACAATCACTATAATTTGCATGTATCCTCTCCAGGTGTGTGCGAAAATAAAGATACTCCCACCACTGGGGCACCTCACGCCGTATGCATCGTGGAAGTATCACCCATATATATAATTCGCTTCGTCTGTTTGGTTGTAAGTTTGTTTGTTTGTTTGTAAGTTTGTCTGTCCGGAAATTCGGTTCGACCTGAAGAACGACTTGGAGAGGTCGGGTCAAGGTGGGGATGGGTAGGGCATGGGACAAGAAATAAAAAGCACACTTCTGCCTTGGAAGCCCGCCCAAGTGGGCGCCGGGCACCCGCCGAAAGTTTGGGGTCCGCAGAGAAGTAATTTCATAATTCGCTTCGGAAGCAGCGTAAAGATGTGGGAAAAAAAGGGATTAAGGTTTAGTAAGGAGTCGCCAGACTAACTATGGAAGACACGTCCAAAATGGGCGGGCGTACTCAAGGTGGGCGGTGCTTCTCGCAAAATTCAGTAACCCGGTTCGCGAGTGTTTGGAAGTCGCAAAAAACTCAGTGTAGAATGTAAATATCTGGCGAATATAGGGCACGCTCAAAGTGTGTTGAGACCCGCCCACAGTGGGCGGAGCTTGCCCTTAATCGCAGGGTAATCATTTCAAAAGTTTGTAGCTCGGTTCCAGAACACTCCAGACACCGGAAAAAAAGTGGATTAAGTTCAGCAGAGGGTCGTCGGTTAAGAATTGTGGGGCAAAAAAAATGTGGGCGG